CAACTGAATTGATGAGGAATATATTCTTGTTTTTTGGTTCTTTTGATTCACCTGATTGAGTTTAAATATCCTGTACTAAAGAGTTCATTTAGCTGTCTTTACCCTTAATAGAGGCTAAGTCACGTTCCAAATTATTCCTAATTCCTTAAAGGAGCATATGTTTTAAATAAATCAGGTTAATTGGCCTTGTATGGCATTGAAATTAGAAGAGCCACTTCTTTGTTTCATATATATATATGAAATATATTCATATATATATATGAAACATATATATAATGAGTATGAAAATACTACTATGTAAAAATTCGGATATAATAGCATAATGCTACAGGTGATACAATGTGAAAATGATCTAATACCATTTTAATTCATTTTCTGCTTTTTAAAAAATTTTTGATTTAAGTATATAGAGAAAAGTAAACATATATTGTAAGTTCGGTGAATCTTCACAAATTGAATATAGCCTGTAACCAGCATCCAGATCAAGCAACAACATTTCTGGTGCCTCACAATCCTCACTCACCATGCCCCTTTCCAGACATTACCCTACCCATGGGATAAGCAGTATCATTGTGTCTGACAGCATAGATTAAGTTTGTCTCCTTTCCTGCTTAAAAAACATTTTCCTTTAAACATAAGTAACATTATAAAATCTAAATAAGTTTTATAATATACTTATTGTCTATGTTTGATTATTTTAAATATGTAATTTTAATGCTGTCTTCAGACTTAAGATAAAGTATTCATAAATTACCTGTGGGGTCAAGGCGGGGGTGGGGAAGGAGGCTAACACACACACACACACACAAACACAAAGATTTTGTCCTGTTCATATTCTTCTAACTGAAAGCAATGCAATAGTAAGAAAACACACTATTTTCTTTTTTAACGTTTGGAATTATTTGGCGTAAAAATGGAGATTTCTATTTAAAAACAATTTTTGTGATACCATGTCGTTAGCCTTTATTGGAAATAGTTTTGAAACCTCTTAGAATAGTCAGAGTAAACAATGTAGTTTTATGAATCAGTGTTTATTCTATTTATGAATCAGTGTTACTCTCTCTTCAAAGCCATCTTGGTTAATAAGATCTAATTTTTAACCTTTAAAATTTGTTTTTTAAAGTGTAGAATTAATCATAATGATAATTTCAGTATGATTTTAAATAACTTTGAAAATCTCTCCTAGCTAATTCTTTCTCTTCAACCTCTGCACCACAGCCCTGACTGGGACATTGAGGGGAACGTGCATTCTTAGACAAAGGTGTTAGTCTGAATGAGCTTGATCTGGTGGGATGGGCTCTATTCAAAAAATGGTTGGCTGTGGCAATATCAGATATAAATTTTGATTTCCATAATATTCTTTTTTAGCATTGCCATGACTTCACTATTTGGCATAGCGCCATGACACAAAGTCGTGTGATTTGAAGGAAGATTCCTGAAGAACGATAACAGATACCCTCTTTTTCAATAAGCATTATATTAAAAGAAGACTTTACCTGTAAAAATGGAACGCCCTAGGAAAAATATATATTAGATGAAGTAGTTCGAGGAAAATATAAGAAATTTTCCAAATGTGCAGACCTTGGCTTTTAGATGCATGGAAAGCATCTGCCTAGATTATTTATTGCTTAGTCAAATGAATGTAAAAGTAGACTGCACTGACATTGAACTTTCCTGATACATAAAAAATGGCAGAAAAACTGCATGTATCAAGTAACTTTGTTTAGAACATATTTGTGAATGAGGGTTTAATAAATCCCTGCATCTCTGGTTTCTTACCTGATGACCTGTTTTAATAGAGTCACAGATTACACATCAGAAACACACATGGATAGAGAATGGTCACTCATCACCTTACCATGCCAGTTTAAGAGAATCTTTTATTCAGGCAAGCTTATAAAAGCATTAAGATATCAAAGAAAAATTTTTAGGAATGAAAAAAGTACAAGAGTGCCTTAAAACAGTAAAAAAAAAAAAAAAAGAAAAAGAAAAGAAAAGAAAAGAAAAAAAGAAAGAAAAAGAAAAAAATCCTAATTATTCAGATGCTGGGTAACGGCTTGATGAGATTCCGCCCACCCCAATGATATGTCATGCTGTTTTGGATTTGCTTTAAAACAATCTGGTCAGTGTTCCCCTAATTAGGGTTGGGGGAGTAGATAGGAGTGTATGAAACAAGTTTGCCTATGGGTTAATTGTTGAAGCTAGGTGATAGACACATGAAAGTCCATTATACTATTTTTTTTACTTTTGTTTATGTTAGAAATTTTTCATGATTAAAGAGTTTAAAAAATTTTTCCCCTTGAACACTCTTAGAACTGGTATGTATAATTCTTGCTGTTTCAGTGGCACCAGTGCAATCGGTTGCCTTTTTTAATCATGTAGAAAGATAAGTAGGAAAATCTATTTAGTAATGGCAAGTTTTTTCACCTTCAAAAAATAATGATAGAAATTGGAAGAGTCATACTCTTGTGTATACTCTTTCTCAAGGCCAGCAGTTTCCAGATTCTAGTTCCAGTCTCAAGGAGACAAAAGTATTCCTGTCTGATGTGCAATAATAGAAAACTTCACTTTGCTGTGTTTAGTACTATATGTTTATGTTAGTGCAGGGTATTTGTGATATGTTCTTCTTCCATAATAGAAAGCTAGTTCTGTCCTGGTCTAAGTCTATCCATCATTAAACTGTATAAAGAGAGGCAGTTTGTACCTAGTTCTTCCTAGTTCTTGTTTGTCAAAAGGAAAATCCCAGCATTAGATGGTCATGTATCTGCCTAGATGGTCTTATACCTGCCCCAATTTTCTATCTTTAAAAGTCATTGTGTTCTTGTGTGTATAATTTCCATCTCAGTATTTTTAGATGCAAACAGGTGAGGTCGTATTTCATTAGTCCTCTCACTTCATTTGAAAGAAATTCAGATTTAAGGAATTAGTTTTTATTTCATTAAATACTGTGATTAAATCTCCCTACCCTAAGCAATGGAATGATATGCTTAGTGTGTTTTATATGGGGTATCCCTGAAGATAAATTATGTTGACTCATCGTGTTTCAAGCTGATGAAAGGATATTATTAAATAGCAGATAAACCATGCAGGATTGTTTTTCTCCCAGCATAAGCAGTATCTGAATACTGAAGACAGAAAGAGAGAAAATAGTAAGAGAAATGTAGATCTGAAAGAGCAGCCTTCAGGTTATTTCTGGGGAAGATGAAGGTTGTGTAGCATATTTGTCACACTGGAATTCAGTTTTTTAATCTTACCTATAACTTGGCTTCATCAGTAGTTAGGATGTAGATCCCAAGTTATGTTTGTGTCTTCGCTTAGTGCAGAGTAAGAGCTCAGGTAACATCTACTGGTGATGACAATGGCATAGTTTTTGCTTTGAAGCACAGAAATCACATCCACACTACTCAGCAGCAAAACACTGAACTAGGGCCCATGGTACATAGCTCTGACTGCACCTTAGAATCACCTGGGCATGCTTTGTAGCGTACAGGGCGAGGCCCCACCCCAGCCCTATGAAACCAGAGTCTCTGTGGAGGTTGGAGGCTGGGTGATGATTCTAAGGATCAGACTGAGATGAGTGCACCCAACTTTGGTATGCCTTCAAATATTCTGGGTAACTCTGGGGGGGGAAAAAACCTACAGATTAGCATCCCTATATCGGACCTTGCAGGGGTGCTGTGAGGGTGCAGGGGCGGTGGGCAGAACTCTGTAGATTTTTGTTGATGTTATTTAGTGTTTCTTTGGTGAGTTGTATGATTAGTTAGATTTAGGTATCACTGCTCTAGAGAACACTATTCTCTTTTCAATGAAAACAATGTGGATTTTAAAATGTTTATCTTCTATGTACATGACATTTGCTTTCCACAACACTTCCCAGGCCTCCAGAACTAAAAGCCATGAAACCTCAGCCTTGCTCCTTGAATCCCGCCTTTTATACTCTTGTCTCTACTTTCAGAAGGACCATTTATCTGCTCCACCTGTTCACATCGTCAGCACTGTTAGCTGGGTAGTCATGTTAGACAAACCAGAGCCTTTTAGAAAACAAGACCCCGTGTTTGAAGACGAGCATAAGAAGCCAAGAAGAAAGGCTGGCATCCTTGGTGTTTTTGGCTTCTACTTATCTGCAGTCATGTACATTTTAACTCATCTCCAGGAAGTCTTACTTTCACATGCCTATTCATATTCTCACTTATTAAAACCTTTGTTAATAAGTCAAACTTGAAGTATAAAATTGGGGCCTCTTCAAATATGAACAGAGGTGTTAGCCAGTAAGCCTCAGATTTGGTCCTGGACTCATTCTGAAGTTGATGTTTGTTGTAAGGATAAAATTAGATTGTTACTAAGACGGTACTTCACCTCAGGAATCCTGCTTCAGACAGGTCCTAGTAGTCCCTAAGAAGATGCACGCACAGCACTGTGAGACAGGTGCCCTGGGGCAGGACCTTGACTTTCCTGTTTATGTTCTTGTCCTCCCTCCCTTGCCTAATTAGCTGCTTGCCAAGCAAGACCAGCATTTTTAATACTTCTTAAATTAAATAATTATCAATAATAGTAGCTAATATTTATTGAGCACTTGTTATGTGCCAGGCCTGTTTCAAGAGTTTCCGCATTTATTGACTTAATCAATTCTCACAACAATCCTACTAGGGAGTTATTATTATTATTCCCACGTTAAAGATGTGAAAACTAAGACACAAAGAAATTAAATAACTTGCCCAATGCCATGCAATTTTTAAGTGATGGAGCCAGAAGTCAGATTTATGGAGGCTAACTCCAGAGTTTGTGCCCTTTATCATTACTCACCTAATGATTAATGGTTAAATGAATACATGATGAAAACATCTTTGGCCCCAAAACTAACACAGAACTTTAATAAAAAAATAAATACACATGAGGCCAGCCTGGTGGCATAGTGGTTAAGTTCATGTGTTCAACTTCAGTGGCCCAGGGTGCATAGGTTCAGATCCTGAGCTCAGAGCTACACACTGCTCATCAAGCCATGCTGTGGCAGTGTCCCACATACAAAACAGAGGAAGATTGGCACAGATGTTAGCTCAGGGCCAATCTTCCTCACCAAAAAAAAAAAAAAATACACAGAGTGCTCCTTTTGTCTTGACTGAAGGACCAAGCGGGTTCCTGCCCCCAAACACCAATCTTAAAATTGGTAACCCTATTGAAATCAAAAAGCACATCCATCTGCACCCTCTCACACCTGTTCTCCCTGGACAGTAGCTCCAGTTCTGTCTGCCTCGACTGAAGGAAAGGGATGGGAAGGAGGGTGCTGAGCGGAGACTCACAAAAGGATGCCAGAGGACGGCAGCCACCACAGTAGGTAAAGAAAAGCTCTTATCATTTTTGAAAGTTTCCTCCCAAGAACATGTTGCCATCCTGGAATCTGACTTCAGATTCACAACTCCTCTTCCACGGAGGGAAATGAAGAGGAGTTGGGGGAGGAACAGAAAGGATCTTCAAAGCTTTCTCCTGGAACCCAGTGGAGGTGGTCCTCTTTGAATAGAGATCCGTGAACAGTTCCGTTAGGGGTAACCTGGTGGAGAAATTAGTTCAGGGAGTCACAGTATGTCCTAATTATTTATCTAGAAATATTACAAACTCCAAATACATTTTCATTTAGGTGTTCAGATGACAACACGCCTGTGGGCAAATAGACATGCTATGAGGTGAAATAACCATCTGGGATTATCTTCTTCATTATCAAGTATAATTGAGTTGGCGTCTTTGCACAAAATTCTTTCTTTGCTTACTTTCGTTGCTGTCTAAGAGAAAACTTAGCTTGGGGTTAAATTCCAGGTAGGCAGTTACATACAGTAAACTAAATAAAAGATCAGATCATCATGCTGTTTTTCACTTTTACATTTAATTAGTGGATCAAAAAATGCAAATGTAGTACCATATCTAGATGAATAATTTCATTCTTTTAATCCATTTAAGCAAAATTTCACATTTGAAAACTAAACATCCAAATTTAGTCTATTGTCAGTAGGACCAGTTGTTTATGTGTTTGGTGTTTCATTCATATGTAGTAAATGATCTTTAATTTAAATGTGTTGCTCTACTTCTTATAAAATAATTTCTTTGGTCTTCTATAAGAATACTACTGCTAAAACTAAACTAATTTGAAAAAGGACTATTTGTAGCAGCCCGTATATTCAACTCACATCAAATTTTCAGTGCTCTGAAGGTGTTGATTGTGCTTGTGAAAGCGTTAGCACCCTGTATGACATCTTTAAGAGAAAATGATTGAAAATTTTTTTAAATTACAAAAGTGGAGGAAAAGTGTTTGACCAGTAAGTTTTCAGATTAATCTGTTTCTGCAGTAGAAAAAAGTTGCAATGAGTTGAAAGGCGATATCTTGCTAGACTCCTGGATATAGAATTACTTGGTTTTAGACTAATCACAGACTCAGGATGTTGTAGCTGTATTACATGCAGCCTATATTATGAAGAGGACTTCTGAATTTTTTGTCATTTGATCCTTATTTTTTAAAAATTATTTTTCCTTTAAAAAAAGAAGACATATTACAATTGGCCCTGTGTGCTAAAGAATACTTGATAGTACTCTTCTTTATATTGGTAATTTTAAATTATCATTGGTAGATTTTTTTCAGTTTGTTTTTAAACATATATGTACCCAAAAAAATAAATCCAACAGTATTCTTTTAGCCAATATTTATACAAAGAAATCTAATTAATTTATAAAATAATTCTCTCAGCCATCAGCATCAATTCATTTTCACCTATCCCATGATGAATTAAATGCTATCAAAGTATTGTCTTTTATCATTAAAATAGGCATGGATTTATTCATTGCTTGACCTGACTAGAGCTTCTCATTCAGTGTTGACACTCAAAATCCATTTTCCAATTTTCTCATACCCAGCCATGGTTGCACAGCATCTATTTAACATGCGCTAAATTGTGATAAATTTCTTGGCTTTGAATATCTTTATTGTAGACATTGGTTAAACAGAATAAACAACATATCCACAGAAGACAGGTTTTATTTTCTGGACACACAGTATGCAAAGAGCACGAGCAGGCCAAGCCACGACTCCTGTCTTACTAGACGCGTGTCTTGAGCTATTAAGTTTGCATGAGTCTTTTTCCTCGCCTGAAAAAACATGAAGAATTTCAGAAGGACATGAGAGAACTTATGCAAAGTACCTGGCTAATAATAGGTTTCATTCTGTAATTGATTGTTATTATTCTTTTAAAATAAAAACCTTACTTTTTCAGGATAGATTTTAGCACCTGGAGGGAAAAATTTACTTACCTGCTTGATCATTATGAATCTGAAATTTTTTTTTAAGAAAAGATGAATGTTGGTTAAAAAATTAGGCCATAGCAGATATGAGTAGCTGAAAATCCAGACTAATTATATGGTTTTGACTTTTGTATATCACTTAGAAAACATCTTTTCTCTTAATGCCACCAGTTTTTTTTTTAATAATCAAGAACTGTACAGACAAAATTAACTGAACTGTGTGAGCTGTAATATATTTTAAATTCCCACTCTTGTGTTTTCCTATCTAACTCTTCTCAAAGGAGTGAGATCATTTCCAGCTATCCTTTTATAAATACTATTGCTCAAAAATGTGTTAAAGTTTCAATTATGTGACTTTTTATCTTGAATTTATTAATAATTTTCAACTTAAGATGTCAATAAATGTATAGGCAATGGATGTATAGGCTTTTGGAAAATTTAGTAGCATTAAAATTAGAAAAAATATCACTAAGCCATATTAACATAGTTTTCCCATATTTGATCTTACAGGTTAAAATTATATTATTTATTGGATATTTTCATCCTCAAATCTGATTCTTGAAATATATTGTTAAATTCTGAGTGAATGATAGTTTTCAAAATTCTCATTATAGATAGGACTGCACGTTTGTAAATGTATCACTCTATTAACTAGAAAGTTTAGTGTGTTAATGCATAATATGCTTTATTTTTTAAATGAGAATAACTATCAAGTTATTGTCAAAATAATTCCAATAAAATATTTAAAAGACTGTTCGACTTAAACTTACATTTTAAGTGATGTGATTTAGGTCTGTTTTAAACAGTTTACTTGATTTCATTATGTATCTTTGTTACATTCAAAAACTATCAAGATATGATATCAAGATTTGAATTCTTTTAGTGTAAATGGAGATACTTCTTACAACATTAGTCCCATGGCAAGCAGAATGATAAATATATCTAAATTAGCGTTAGGTTTGTTACATTGTTCTAACCTTTGAGTAGACTGCTCTTTTCCTTGTGTTTAATCTTATAATCTTTTTAGCGTCAGAAAAGGGTTAATTTCAGAGCACTTACATCATTTGTGATTAGAAGTCAAACATGCCAACAAAAGAAGTCTCCATTAAAATAATTATTTCAGGTTTCTGTACATTATCTTAGGTATGGTTGGTTTGTCAAGGCAAGAAGTACATTTATCAGTATAAAGACATATATCTATATTAGACATTGAAATATTTACTCCAGCTACACATATATTTTGTCTCTTAAATTTATAATGGTTACTGTGTAAAGTAGATTCAATACTGATGATTCAGTAGATTGTATTTCTAGCCTGAAAAGTCAGTTTATTCAACCACATTAGATCATATTATAACCTTCTAAAGTTGCTAGGCTTTATGTTTTTTAAATGTTTTTATCATGGAAATTTTCAAACTTTAACAAAAGCCTCTACAAAAAACTATAATGAAATCCTGTGTAGGTATTAACCAGCTTCAACCGCTACCAATAGACAGCTATGCTTGTTTATCTATGTTCTCCCTTCTCTACTCTCTACCCACATACTGGGTTATGTTGAAGCAAATCCAAGAGAGATTATGATACATTTAAAGTTACCACTTTGCATGATATTTAATTATTTAATAAACAGCATTTTTTACCATGTTTAATATTTGGCTGTTTTTTGGCTAGCTGCAGGTTTATAGATGGTTGACCATTTACTTCTTGCTTAGTGTTATTGTTTTCAGACAAATGGAAAACATTAAGAGTTCCCTTTGGGATTGGTTGCCATAGTTTAATACCAGATCATTCTGACACGTATAAATCATAATAAAGGTAGAAGAAGATATGTGGATATAGATGGCCTGATAAAATGCCTTAAGTTACTTTATATTGTTTCTCAGCAGTATGGCAAAAGTGAAAAAAAAACAAGAGACCAATTTAAGAAGGTCCGCTTAGGGCAGTCTGAAAACATACATCACGGGCACACAGAGAATAGATATCAAACTCTGACAAGCTTTCAGCAGAAAAGCCAGAATGTTCTCTGAGGTAATCCTGGAATAACTACACAGTCTGCACCACCTCCCCTGAACTTTTTAGCTTTCTCTTGAGACACTTGGCAACATGCCATATCAGTCTGATGCCAGCAGTACAAGGACTAATCATCCTTAGACGTGGCATGCTCTGAAGGTGCATATAATTCTTTCAAAAACTGAAATAGGATCACAAGACTGAGGCATCTATTTCCAATTAATTTGGTCACAGGAGTTTATCTGTCATCTTTGTTCTGTCACAGCAGTTTGTGGTAAACCTGCTTCACGTGGATTATCAAATATTAAGAACAGTGGATTGCAGAATTTTCCCCCCAGTCAATTCCTATTTTGTCACTTTTGGTTTAAAGTAGATGAAACTAGCCATGGGTTTAAAAATGAACTTGACATTTTCAAACTTCCATGAAAAGGAATTGGTCAAACTTCTGGCACGATGACATAGTAGGTTATCGTATATACCATACTAATTCATTCTGATTTTCTACAAAAGGTTAGTATAAAGTTTTTACTCTGGAAAAGTATATACAACTTCAGCAACAAAAATACTTCTTCCTTTTACCCCAAAATGCGTATATGAGGATTCTATGCACAACATCCTTATCATGTGCTAAAAATGAATACTAATTTTCTGAATAGTCTCTCTCAACATTTAAATATCTCTAGCCCACCTTAAAAACTTAACAAATTATTTTCCCCTCTATGGTCATGTAATTCCAGGGCAAAACATGAATTTAGATGGCATAATGACGATTTTTAACTTTGATTTGACTGTTTTAGGCTATTTTGGTTGCAAGAAACAAAACCTTGCTTGGGTTTGAGCAGAAGATCATTAGAAGGATGCCGTGTGTGTTATAGCACGTGGGTAGCAGGAACTCACGGGCTTCTGGGAACTGAAGTTGTGTAGCTGGGTTCCTGTACCCTGGAACTAGATCCAGAGTAGCTCTGGGGACTTCACAGGACTTCACAGGACTTCACAGGATAAGGGACTAGACCTTTGTTAATGTTGTCATTCCAACAATATGTGCTCACTTGTTAATAATAATATACTGTGTCTGAATTTTGTAAAAATAAGAATCAAGTACAATTTATGTTACAAATTTATAAAATTCTAATAGCTTGGAAGTTGGTAATCCCTCATAATGGGAGATGGAAATGGGACTATGACTCTTTGAAATGCTTTAAATATCTAAGCTTGCCCTCATAATAGCTCCAGAAAGTTAATATTATTGTCTGCAGGTAACTTTTTCAATTTGATGCAACCAGCTTATGAGGAAAAAACCTGAGAATCAAAAACCCCACCTGTACAAACCCCCAAGGCTGTGCTTGCTCACTAGACCACACAGTCTGCCTGTGATGGAAATAGCAAGACTTGAAAAAATTTCTTATATTTAAGGGGCAGTATTGGCTTCTGCATTTCTTCTCTTTTCGACCTCAGGTCTTTTTGCTCACTTCAGAGCAGGTTAAATCCATCAAGAGCACCCTTCCCGCCGTCTTTCTCATTGTGTCTTCCTCTTCTTCCTGTCTCTCCCTACTTCTCTTATTCCCCACCCTGCACAGTCTTCTCCATTTCAGTTTCTGATGTGTCTTAACACAACTGGGGTATGATGCATCCACCCAAAATAACTTGGGGAACATGGCAAGGTGTTAGTTTCCGGTCCCTCCTGCACTCTGCCCTTCTCTCCTGGCTTAGCTGTTCTGACAGTCTTACTGATGGAAGCACTACTTTGGGATGCACCTTAGAGGCTATAGTTTTATCCTCTGAATTATCTGATAAATTCATGTTTGTTTTGTGGAGACAGGTTCCCCATCAAGCATATTCCTCTCTCCTTTTCCCATCTTTGCATTGGTTTTGTTTATGAAGTTCATTGATTGTTATTCACAAGGCAAAGAATGCTGATGCTGTGCACGTCAGACACAGAGCAGCCGGGTCTCTTCCAGAGGAAACAGCAGAGCAGCAACCAAGTCTACATAAGGAAACGGCGTTAAAAAGAACCATCAGGTTCACTCCTGATGAAGAAGACTAGGACTCTAAGGAGAGTAAGAAAAGGGAGGAGCAGAGGCTGATAGAAGGGGCAAGCAAGCCAGGAAAAGATATAAACAGAGGCTGTTAATAACCAAATAGCCAACTTCCCAGATTTTTTTCTGAATCTGACCTCATAGGTGTGTTCCCCATGGCCCAAAGTGGCAGTGCGGCATGAGGGAAGCATTGTGGTCAGGGCCAGGACACATGAAAACCACTCCCTTTGTTCCCTACCTCGAGTCTTGATTATAATGGAAATGCTGCCAGACCCTTAATTATGAAAGTACAACAGGGCATTAATATACTTCATCACCTGTTAGAAGGAGCACTTGTAGGTTATTTACTAGAAATCTATTAAATATGACATGAAGACAGATTGCACTCCATTTCTTAACATGACATTGTAATCAGGATGTATGCTCAGTAAAATGGTTTATAGAACCCTTGTCTGTGAGTCCTATCAATTAACCTAAAATCTGTATAAATGAAGTGTAGCCAGGCAGCACCCTAAACAAATGGATGCGTTTTTCCTCTGGTTCTCAGCAGAGGAAAGTTTCATTTTGAAATATCAGTGTCGTTTTCATAACAAGTTCATTGCCATGTATTATACTCATCAATGCATTGAGTGAAAGGATTATAAAACAGAATACTCATTTCATAGTTGTGTTACTGAATGTTGAAGGATTTGTTTGTATATGAAACTGGTACATTTCCTTGACATCCTAATATAAAAATCTTTTGTATAGATAAGGTCAGTATTGATGGGCCGGTACTATAATCCTGTAAAGTATTGCCCT